TGAAAAGGACTTCCAGAAACACGTCAGATCATTGCCTTCATCGATGTACTTTTGTAGCAAATTTGATCTGTAGATTCTCTTCATACTTGAGATAACTCCTTGATCCATTGGTTGGATAAGTGCGGTAACATTAGCGGGAAAATATTTCACAAAAATATTTCCATCATCTGACCTCAGGAGACTTCCGTTAGGATGTGAGGGCGCATTGTCAATGAGGAACACAGCTTTCTCAGGTAGGCCTTGGGATTTTAGATGGTCACAAACTTGAGGCACGAATTTAAAATCAAACCATTCTTTAAATATCGCTCTATTCATCCAAGCTACTTTCTGGTTAAAATAATGGATAGGCAGACTTGAAGCTACTGTTCCTTTAAAAGAGCGTGGTCTTTTCGCTTTGCNNNNTGATGATGACAAGTCCCCTGACAGTTTCTCACCTTGAATACTAATTTCTCGTATTCCATGACGCTGCTTGAAACGTGTTAGCCAACCGGAAGAAGCGTCAAAACTTCCTTGTAGTTCAAGTGCTTCGGAAAAAATTTTGCTTGTTTAGCACAAACTGCTCCTGTTATTGTTGTTCCCTGTGCCCTTAGTTGATTAAACTAGATCAGCATTGCTTTGTCGAGATCATCATATGTTGATTTTTTCATGGTTTTCTCTTCTTCATTCCACTTGAATTAGAAGATGAAGCAAAGGAAATTGATTCTTTTGTTTTTTCAAATCATGAACAGTTAGTTCTCCAATACCATATTGCATTGCTAATTGTTTAACTACACCTCTTTTTCCCAACTGATTGATAATTTCAAGTTTCTGTTGAATACGTAACACAACACACTTCCTTTTACACCCTGACATTTTGCTAACACACTTTAAGATCGATACAAAGAGACTAACTGGGACGGTGTATTTGTCCTTGAAACTTTCCACAAATCCTTGCATTCTTTCACCCCTACCCTAGAACATTGTGTTAGCATAACAGGACCAGAAAATGCAGAGCTCGGTTCACACTAGTGTGAAAATAGTGTTACAACTCGCCATGTGAAACAAAAGTGAATGAATATTAAACAACATATAAGCCTCAAAAAAGCCCTGGTTAAACCAGAAACCGGTTTATCCGCTCCCGGATAATCGAGAGTTGAGTGTATGTTGTTTTGTGACCTTGATTGAGTTGGCTGAGTTTAGATGATGAGATGTACGTGAGGAGAATCCTGGATCATTGCTGGAAGGAAAATGTATCAAACGCATCTGAACACCCATGTGTTTCTCAAATCACCATCAGAGTTCATTAATTAATAACTTCCATCTTCTGATAAATATGTTCATTGCTTTGTTTATTTAGTAAGAACTTGTTGGATGGACTTGAAAGGACTAGTTAAAACATCTATGTATCCACAGTCCGTCAATAATGCAACAGTTGTTTATTCACCATTTAACACTTAACACAACATGTTTCGGCCATAAATGGCCATCTTTGGCCGAAACATGTTGAAACATAGACGTTTTAATTAAAGTTTTGTAACAGGATGCTGAAATACAGACTTGAAGGGACTAGATTATTATAGTGTTCCCCAGTTTCCTTTATGGTATAGGGAGGTTCATTAGGCAGGACTTCCTTCTATAATATCTTTACACTGTTTTCATACCATTATATCATAAATACATTCCGAATTGTGAGATCGTTCTGGGCATAATCATTTAACCCAACTCTAGCAGTTGTTGGTCTGTGCGTGCAAATAGATTTTTGAAGCATCAAGAATGAAAACTGAACAAGAAGGACCAAATTTGCTGCTATATTATGACAGAATTTTAGGTGAGTTTAAAATTTGGTCTGATTGGAGTTACTTTAGATGCACATGTCAGTCTTGTTTCTTTTTTAGTGATCTGTATTTTCAACATTGAATGCATTTGGATTGTGGGATGTGAGATTAAAAAATATAATTATTAAGTAAATTATAATTTAGTTTCTTTATTCTTCACATTTCTGAACATATCGGTTTGTTCCTCACTTTCTCTATATATTTGATGCTGTTATATGATATGTTTGTCTTAACAGGAACTATCTGAAATCCATGCTGGTTTCCACAGTCAGTTACGTAAAGCTGTTGCTCCAGGTAGCACTACTCGTCTTAGTGAAGTTTTCCTCAATTGGAGGGAAAAGTTCCTGATCTATGGCGATTATTGTGCAAACCTTACATATGCTCAAGCTCTTGTTCAGGATGTATGTAACCGCAATCAGATTGTCAACCAGGAAGTTATTGTAAGTGATTTTTGTAATAACTTTTGAAGAACATTAGGGAGATAAAACATTGAATGCTGGAACATATTAAGGAACTCTTTGAACTCTATACACTTAATAAGTGAATTAGTCAGTCATTGCCCATTTAGTTAATAAAATGAAGTGTGAATACTCTATTACTTCAAATATTATGACACCCTTGAATTTAAGGTGCATCCAGTTTTTGAATGTGGGTTTTATGGGGGGAAAAAATAAAAAAAAAAGATACACATTCCTCGCATTGAAGATGCACCTCAATTTTTCAACTGGAGGAAATGTGTAAAATGTGCATCTTATATTCAAAATAATACAGTAATTAAAAATTGGACAATGTACTTAACCACTGGATATCTGACACTTTATGAAGTTAGTCTGGGATGAACTGGACAACATAGAAAGTAATGAACAGAGATCATGACACATAAGACAATCTTGAAATTTCTAAATCATATCTAAGAACCATATGAGTTGCTGCCTCTTTATTTCATTTTATTTCATGTTTTACTCTTTTCTGCTCTGTTAAGCACATTGTACTTTCTTGTAGATATGACACTAAAGCTGATGAATTGGTTCACACTGACAATCTCATTTAGTTTGCTTTGATATTTCATTGTGTTATTGACTTCTGTGAGTTTTCAGAAGAAATGAAAAATCAGAATCTTGAGAATGTTATTGAAGGTATGTTTATTTATTTCAATTTATCCCTCTCTTATTCTCTTTTTCTGTAGCTCTTTAAGAATTCTTTGCCAACTGTGTAAGTTACATAGGCTCATATGGGAGTATGATTGTGAATAGTGGCTTAGAAGAAGTGTAGTAGTTTTCATGGCCTATTTTAAGATACCACAGCCACATCATAGCTCAGGCTGTTGGTCACTGATTTATCACAACAGGCCCTGGTTCAATCTCTGGACAGATTTAGTCTGAACAAGGTGGTACTGGGGCAGGTTTTTCTCAGAGTACTTTGGTTACCTGTGTCAGTTTTCATTCTGCCAATGCTGTCATCTCATGTGTTCATCTTTGGTTGGCACAGTGGGCCTTTTTGTGGTCTGAGTAGCAAGGGACTGAGTCTCACCTCACTGCGGGTGGAGGGGTATTCCATCATTTGACTGCAGGGACAGAAGAAACCAATGAAGAACCCTTCCAGTGCACCTCAAGGCCAAGAATCAAAGCCAGGAGCTATAAAATAAAGAGCAGTAATGCTGACTGGTCAACTGTTATGTTTGGTGTTACCTGAGCTACTGTAATAAACAAACAGTTCGGTATTTCAGGTTTTCCCCTTATGGAAATCAGTTGTGTATCAAGTTCTCTCACGTTAGGGAAAACAAATTTAGAAATAAAAAAAAAAGTATTCCACAGTGCTGCCTATGTATTCAGTTATTCAGTATTGAGGGGGTGGGTTTCCCCATGCACTGTGACTGATAGTCTAGTGTACGTCCCCCTTTTTAATTTCTACTGTCTCCATCCCCTACCGGTACTGGTGCTCGCTATCAGCCCCTTTCTGCCAGCAAGGTTTCTACCCTCTACTTGGCAGTGGTATCTAATAGTTAGTCCCTTTCTGTCAGCGAGGTCGTCCCTCCTCTGGCAGTGGTACCTAATACTTCCCCATCTACCGGAGGCATTGGAAACTGCTTGGGCGGGAAACTTTTTGGCCTAATTTAGCTCAGAGGTCTCCTAGAGACATGAGGTTCCTTTACATGCCGTAAATGTATGACACAGGACCCACGGCTTAAAGTCCCTCCCGGAGGACTTGTCCCCTGAAATTTTTCGCCCTTAAAAATTCCACGACCTCCGCCGGGTTTTTGAACCCGCATACCTTGAGTCATTAGGTGGGAACGTTACCCCTAGACTACGGAGACCGCTGCTGCCTTTGTAAGTAAGTGAGTAGTGTGTTGTGGCACATATTAGAGAAACTGTTCAGTAGTACGTTGCAAAATGTTGAACACAAAGCTGCAACTACATGCCTCATTGTAATTCTTTAATTCTGTGTTTCCCTGTTTCCAGTGATTTTTCAAGTTGAATACTGAGTCTAATAGTGACAGATTAGGACAACAGTTGAATAGGAACCAGCTAGCTTTGTCTTTTAGAAGTGTGCAAGGTGTTTCAACAGATATGCATTGTTTCATGTTGCAGAGATGTCAACAGGATGCTAATAATGGCAAGTTCAAGTTGCGTGATATCCTCTCAGTTCCAATGCAGAGGATATTGAAATACCATTTACTTCTGGATAAGCTTATCAGTGAAACACTACCTGTGAGTACAGTAGCACATCCCTTATCACAATGAATGCTGTTGTTATTACCAAGAAATTTGTGTGATGTTTTAAAATATCAGGCACATCAAAAGTTAAGTACTGATAAATCTTAGATTCTTGAAAATGAAACAACCTCACACATCCAGTGTGACTGAGATTCTAACTGAATTAAGATTCCCTGATCTGGTATTGCATTGCATGAGGCCAAGTTTATGTTGGTAAGCACTGTGAAGCAAAGTATTGCACTTCATTCATAACATGGGGCTAATAGAGTGCTAATCTGTAAAAGGGGGTGCACAGTAGATCATAGACAGTCATATTTCAGGGATCACTTTACACCCTCACTTTTAATTTAATTTAATTTACTCCATATTTATGAAATAATGTCACTATGGCCCTGGGGTTTGCTCATGACTTTCAGTACGACCCTTGTATTTCAAGGAACTAGCGGCTCCAGTCTAGAAAACTGAGATTAATGGCCATGTAACACCCTCTATGCACTAAAGTTGCCACTAACTTCACCGTCAAGCGGTGGTTGCTCAGTCAGTATAGTTCGCTTGTGGACTACAGGCCACGGAGTTCATTTGTGTATGTGCTGCAGTTACTCACTGTTTTATTTATAGAATCATGAGGACTACCGGGGTCTGGAGCGAGCTAAAGAAGCCATGGTAGATGTTGCTCAGTACATAAATGATGTAAAGCGAGACAGTGACACACTGCAAATCATGCGATCCATTCAGGTATAGAACAGATCATGTTTCAGGCATTTTTCTAGAAGGCTGTATCTTCAGATCAGTATGACATTAATTAAACTGTTCACAGGAAAGTATAATAGACTGGGACATGCCTGAAAATACAGAATTGAAAGACTATGGTCGCCTGCTGAAGGATGGAGAGCTACGGATAAAGGCTCATGATGACCAGAAGATCAAAGTGAGGTCTGTATTGGCAAGACATTTTGTGTGCTATCTCTACTGAGAGTTTTGTTAAGTTTGTTGGTTACCTCTTGCCTTAACACTTGGATCAGATATCGGCCATCATCAGATGCTTTTTCATTGTATGTTCTGTTTTGTTTCAGATATGTATTCATTTTTGATCAAGTCATGCTGATGTGTAAATCTGTAAGGGTAAGTTTAATGATACCCCTGGCTTACAAACCTTCATATAGCTCTCATGTGACAAATGCTGTCTGTATAGTGATCTTGCTAACTTCTAAAAGGTTATCAACTCTGTCCGGTGTGACCGATAAAATGTTTTATTCTTTCTCTCTTTTTTAATCTTTCACCCTTGACATGTTTCAGTCTTAGAGACCATCTTCAGAAGGATATATCAATACAGGCGGAAACCGCTATTACAGTATTGGTCAGTATCAATATATACATAACAGTATCATCACAATGCCATCACATCATCTGATGCTTTAACAACTACAGTGCCCTGCATGAATACATTCAAATGTTTATGAACTATTACAATTAGTCTGTTTACAAATGTGGTTTGGGGCACGTGGTAGCGTAGTTGGTTGAGGCACTGTGCTACAAGCCGGAAGGTCGCGGGATCGAATCCTGATGAGGTTATTGGATTTTTCAATTTACCTAATCCTTCAGGCACACTATGGCCCTGAGGTTGACTCAGGCTCTAACAGAAATGAGTACCAGGAATATTCTTGGGTGTAAAGGGCGGCCGGCGAATAGGGCTAACAACCTTGCCCCCATCTATGAGCCAATTGTCTAGAAAATGTGGGAACCTCAACGTCTCACAACCCTATGGGCCTCCATGGCATGTTACAGGGATACCTTTACTGTACTTTACATTACTTTACTTTACTTTACTTTACAAGCATGGTTTAAAAAGACTTTGCTAAAATTTAGAACCAATTTGGTTTGTGTCCTTTATTTTATCAATCACACTGGACAGAGTTGATAACCTTACATATATTGCTAGTGTGATGGACCAGGATAAACCAATTCAAATTGCCACCAAATGGATACAGAATTGGATGCTCTAATAGCTGCTGTTAGTGCATAGTGTAGCAAGTTGGCATGTGTGTCTACTTAATACCTTTGATTGGAATATCAAGTCTGACAATGAGGCAAGATGACATTCAGTCTGGGAAATATTTTGATCATTTTAAAATAGTGTAGCCTTTATATTGCAAGTTTTTGCCAACAGAGAGATTAGAGTGTTACTTTCTGAACTTTCAGGCATGCCTTGTTGACCCCACAGCTTATGTTTTGACAGATAATTACAAAGAAACACTGTCATGAGCAAATGCCAGCCAAATTATGTCACAGCAGGTTTAAATGGCTGGCATAAGCAGAAAAGCTGGCTGGGATATTCTTCTATCAACATATAGGGTTAGGTTCAAATTTAGGTTAAGTTTTGATCTTCATTTAGTCAGTATAGTGATAACCATCAATAATCACCATCATTATGTCAAATTATTTCAAGCCATTATCCAAAGAGCAAGAAAATGCTGAAACAAGTTAATATTTTTGTCTAGGGCAGCAATTTTGCAGCATGATCACCAGCTTGTTGCGTCAGATTTTGTTTTATTCACGGGATTTCCTTTTTCTTGCATATACTGAATAAACTTGATACATATAAATTCAGTGATTGAATATCCATGCAAGGTTATTATGAAGGAAGCGTGCACACTTAAATATTTGCTTCAAAAGACTGATTGACCCATTAAGTTTTCAGTTGGAACATTGATCCATAAAACTCTGTGTATGTGTCTGTCTCTGTGTGCACATGTTCGCATGCATGGGACTTGGCCAAGGATGCCATGAGTAATGGCCTTATAGGTCTTCTGATGTACTTTTAGGGAGTTATGTTCAAAGTCAAGTCAGTGTCTAACCCCTACTCAGTGGGTTTGATGGCTTGAAGTGTGAAATGATTGTCCAATGAATGTAATGGCAAATTTCTGTGTAAAGACTCTTGAACTTATATGTAATCTGGTCATGTTATTGAGGAAAGAATACATGAGTGTCAAAAGGAATTATATAGAAAGTGTGAAAATTATAAAGACATTTTTCAAGCCATTGAATCTGTAAATGTACAATAATATATATTGTCACGTGTTGGGTATATGTTACGTGACAAATAACTTCACGCCTTTTTGGATATAATGAATTTATTGAACAGTTACACAATTCACAATTTCACAAGTACTGCCATATGCAGTATCACACTTCTCCTGCTGGAGTCACTGCCATTCACTCAATACAACTCAATAACAATGGACTTCAACTCACTCCAGCGAATGCTAGCCTGCAACTGACCGGTTACTCTGGTAATTCTCCTGTTATGTAGCTTCCGCACTGACAACACAGAAAACAGTCACGTGATAGCTACCACTGTTGCGTAATGTCGTGTTTACAGGCGTTGCTGGGGAACGCTGCCGAGAGTTGTTTATTGCTGCGTAGTAACCGTAGTGTCCCCTGTTACTTCACTGCGGGGGAGGGGGACAGAGTGTTGACTGGCCTGTTACCATAGCAGCGGCAGTTGCTCTGATGCTGTTTCATCACTGCTGGAAGGGGGGGTGTCCTGCACAGTGCAAATACATCACAATATATATGCATACACACAGCATTTTTTTAGACAAATGAAGCTTGGTGAATTTTTGAAAGAAGATTGATATTAATTAAAATGTTTCTGTAAGACAGTGGGTTGCATCCTCTTCTGCCATGAAAGAGACAGATAACAAGTACACAGTTCAGCAAGCATAGATTTTACAAAACACCCACTGTAGAGCAGGCTGGAAAAAGGCATATTGAAAGAGAAAAATATTATATGAATGATAGCACTTTTGAAGGCTAAAATATTGAACTCTTCTGTTTTGAAACATCTTTAACAGCTAATTTACTGGGAATATGAAGAGAATATTACCACTGTCCACACCTTTTGTGCTGCAACAGATGATGATTATTGTTGTTGTTGTTATTATTATTATTATTATTATTGTTATCATCATCGTCATTATTTAATTCCTGCTGCTCGCCCTGAAGCATAGTGCACTGTGAAGTGCCATTTCACTTCAGTTTCTTAATCTTATAGACCATCTGTTCTTTGAGAGGGATTCGAACCCACGATCCCAGCGTTTGAGCAGGCCAAGACATCTCATGTCTTAGACTGTGTGGTCACAGATTATACACTACCTGTATATAAAATGTATTGCTCCTTTGATTATATTATGTTACCTAGCAGCATACAGTGAGATGTTTCTAAAATAATGATTGTAGCTTGTGTGATATTGAAGGAGAAGAGGTACTTTTTTTTATTTAGATTGTAACTGGGAAAAATGACTGCATTTGTTACTAGTGAGGTAGCCTTTATGTCCCAAGGTTCATTTTTATGTTTGACTTGTATCTTGGTACAGGGAGATCAGTACAGCTATAGAGAGTCTCTTCGTCTGTCAGAGTACAAAGTGGAAGATAATAGTAATCGCCGAGTTATGACTAAAGATACACGATGGAGCTTCCAATGGTTCTTAGTGAGGAAGAGTGAACGAACAGCATATACCATGTATGCTCGCACAGATGAGCTTAAACGCAAATGGATTAAGGCTATCCAGGAGGCTCTGTGAGTATATGTTGCAATCAGTTGGTATTTTATTACAGCTCCAATGAGTACAGTCATGATTCGGTTTCATAGAATTTATTTAATCCGTCTTGCAGTGCATACACTCATTTTTCTCCTTCTCTCCCTCGCACTACATGTTTCGGCATAATAATGCCATCTTCAGGTGCTTACTTATCCACGTCAAACCAGTTCATTGCATGCCATGTTCATTATTAAAATTTATATTGGCATTGCAATGTAATAGTTTACGTTTACAATTCATGTATTGGTATACGCTTCTAGTATGACTACTATTACTAATGTTATATTTTAGCGTCCTGTTGCACTGACTTAAANATTAAATAAATCATGGACTTAAATCAGTGCAACAGGACGCTAAAATATAACATTCATAGAATTGTTGGGAAAATTTTATATCAGATGTTGAAATACTTATTGTAAATCAGTTAGCATTTTGACATTTGTACCACAGATGACTTTTAGATTTTCTGTTTTGTATCTAAAATTTATTTAATAATTTTAGATGCATGTAAAAGAATTTTTATGTAACTCAGACTCAAATTGTATGTACTTTTAGTGTTTTCAGGAATTTCACAATTGGTTTCTGGTTGAATCATATATTAATCATTGTCTTTTGTTCAGGGATAACATTGAACCAAGTGGCTGCAAAAAAACTGACCACAAGTTTGTGATGCACACATTTGACAAGCCCACAACCTGTAGCCATTGTAGCAAATTTTTAAAAGGGACAATATTTCAAGTAAGTGAAATATTGGCATCGTATGATCTTTATATACTTTGAGGTGATTTATGAAAGGAAGAAGATTAGGCATGTATGAAAGCGTAACTCTCCAGCTGAAGATAAGATCAGGGCAAGAATTTGGCAGAATTTTGAGAATCCCAATGAGAATAAACTTTTTTATGCTAGACTAAGTTTGCAATGGAATCACAATTTATAATATCAGCAACTTTTTCACACTGTACTAAGTGCCTTTTAATGTTAGATACTTTGACAGATTTTTATTAGTTGTATTTTCAAAAACATCAGTCTGTATCTAGTTCTTTTTTGCCATGAGCAGATAAGGGAAGAAACAGAGGTTGGTGATTAGTTGATCTGTGCTAGCACAACCAACCATTTGTAAAACTCTAATTCACTCTTTTTTCGGGTGGGAGTGAAAGTTTGTCTCTCACGTTAAAGGACGAATATAGAGTGAGAACATTTGGGAACAGGGTGCTGAGGAGAATATTTGGACCTAAGAGAGAGGAAGTAACAGGAGGCTGGAGAGAATGATGTATTACTTGTACTTCTTGCTAGATGTTATCGAAATGAGCAGATCAAGGAGGATGAGTTAGATTGTTTGCTACTATGCAAAGCTAGAACTCAATACTTTTCAAGTCTGGGACTGAAATATCAGTGTTTGAATCAGTATATTTTTTCTCAGGTCTAAACAGTTTGAGACTTTGCTTGCTTTCTTTGTACAGCATTCTGTGTGTATGTATCCATGCCAGACCCCTGCATCATAATTGATTTTTTTGTAATTAAGCTGAGCTACTTGAAACTTGTTACAAGGCTCTGGCTTTTTCTTTGCTCATAAGAATGGCTGTGTAAAATATAGACTTATGTTTCCCTTACGTGGTAATAATACACAGCTTCTTGTTTCTGCCCATTTTTAGGTGTTTCAACAGATGTAGGACACATTTGGCATAATAGTACCTCTGCCTGTCTTATTTATATGGTGCAAGAGTTACTTTTGTCTTTTGATTTTCACATATCTGTTGTGTCTGTCTGTCAGTCTTTCATTCCTTTCTGAAGTCATGTAACAGGTTTATATGTGTATTGTATGAATTCCTCTTCTGCCATTATACAGTCCATCAGTTTTTTACCTTACAGGAGCAGTACACCCCCTGTGTTTGTAATGAACAGCAGGATTATAAGGAAATATTCATAATCTCAAGGACTTCTTAAAATTGAAGCTTTCATTTGATATCGTTTCTATGACAGAGTCAGTGGTGTTATGATTCATGTGTTGATTTCATATGAAATGTTATGCCAGTTAAACAATAAATACTATGAATTTGTGTTTGTGTAGGGTTACAGGTGCGACAAGTGTTCCATTGCAAGTCACAAGACATGCATTCAGTACTCTGGGCGCTGTGGACAGCCTCCTATTCCTCCACCTCGGCCTCACCAGAGGCCTGCACCATCTCCTCCAGATCCATGGCCAGACCCCATCTTTGGAAAATATGTATGGTGAGTTTCATTTTTTTTTATTATAACTTGGAACAGATTATGTGTGCTTCATATGTAACTTTGGAATTTTCACTCATACACATGTAAATATATATTCTAAATAAGCATGTTTGACACACAAGAACACAGATGTTTCCTTTTAAGTCAGACTTTGAGTTTGATGGGAACTGGCAGTTAGAATTTCTTGTTCTTATCAGAAGCACATTAATGCAAAATACTATGCTTACATCTTATATTTACATGTCTTCATAAGGTATTTTGCAGCAGCTATCTAATTTTTGTACTGGCATACAGCGAATCTGGTACTTTTACATTCTGTACATGTTGCATACCCCAGAAATAAAATATTGTAATGTAGCTATATTGTAATTTATTAGTACTATATTTATCGGCAGTTGGTATAGTGACTGGCTATGGGCTGGACAGTCAAGAGGTCAGAGTTCGAGTCACAGTAGGGTCAAGAATTTTTTCTTCTCCACATCTTCCAGACTGGCTGGGGCATCCATGCAACCTCCTGTCCAATGCTTACAGGGGGGCTCTTTCCATGGGGGCAAAGTGGCTGGGACGTGAAGCTGACCACCCCCCTCCAGCTAATGTCGAGGTCAAGAAAATGTGGATCTATATATCCACTCCCCATACACCTTCATTAAGCACAGGGACAGCTTTCCCTTTTACCATATTTATTGGGCTTTCATCATCACACATCTTGAAAAATATTGAAACTACCTTTAAATAGTCAGCAGTCATCATGCACATTTGCAGTTGGTCTCCCGTTTGTTTTTATTTTTCAATACATGTGTATGACAGTAGGCTGTCAGGACACATGGACACCTGTTGTGCTACTATGACCATAGTCTCTAAGTGTTAGCAGTCATCACAGAAGTTTGCTGTGTATCCACAAACTAAATGATGTTCGACAACTGTGGCATATGTCAGAATTCACATATTTGTAGAATATTGGTATGAGAATTTTTCCAAATAATATTTATACTTTGTGCATGATTCACTGTGGATGAATGATAGCAAAGGAGATTTTTGTCTGATGGATGTTGTTTCATTACAGAATTTATCTGAAAAGTAGAAACATTATTATGTTTGTTAAATTTTTAAAACGTACTAATATTAGAACTATTGTATTTAGGAAATTGAGAACTGGAAAACTGTGTGTGTGTGTGTGTGTGTGGCAGTAATGTTAATGAGAATCTTAACTATTACAGCTTCTAAATAGTTTAGTGTTAGTATGATACCTTATGAAATGCAAATTTTTAGGTATGGCACTGTTGCCTTATACATTTACTTTCTTTTATCACAAACTGTTTCAAGTGTACTATATACACATAATTTGTATTTTGTACAGGTTTGTTGGTGAAATGGGCCGAGAGAAGGCCACGGATCTGCTGGATAAACATGCAAATGGCACATATTTGTTAAGAATCCGACCCCAGGGACCTACTCACCCAAATGAAACTGTTTATGCTCTCAGTTTAAAGTAAGTAGCATGTTACATTATTCTTCCTAACAGGGCTACAACATATCAAATTTTCCTTCATTTGCATTTTTATCTTTGTCTAAGTATTAGAAACCCCACTGAAATCAATGGAAAAACAGTGGCACATATTTGTTAAGAATCCGACCCCAGGGACGTGCTCACGCCAATGAAACTGTTTATGCTCTCAGTTTAAAGTAAGTAGCATGTTACATTATTCTTCCTAACAGGGCTACAACATATCAAATTTTCCTTCATTTGCATTTTTATCTTTGTCTAAGTATTAGAAACCCCACTGAAATCAATGGAAAATTAAAAATAATAATACATATCTCATATTTTCTATATTTATTTACAGAGAAAGTCACTTCTTATTCTAAGAACATGAATACAACTCAGTATTATGTAAATAACATAAAATCTAGAGATTTGTTAATTGTAGACCTCTGTTTAGGTCACTGATAGTTGGGTATCAGTAAGATAATATTGCAACAGGTAGTGAAGTGGTCCATGTGTATTTAGACAGCGAAATTGTTGCTATTCCAGAGCAACTTATAAGCACTGTCCCACTAGTTACAGAAGTATTTGGAGGCAATATGACTGCCAGTGACTCTACACATTATATGAAGAAGGCAGTTATATGCCTAAAAAGTAATGATATGAACTTTATCAGTGAAGGAGCTCTGACCTAATTGAAGATGAAGTCCATAAGTCTATATTTCCTACTCTGGTTAGGGGAATGATTCTTACCTGTGTACATATCAAAGGAGCTGTAAATATAATGCAGTTTGCTACTGGCAACGTCTCATAATGTTACAAAACATTCTGCAGCAAGAATTAACCAGATATTCATGAAATTAGGTATTCTGTGAGCCAGATACAATATAAAATGCTTTCCAACCATGAATTCACTGTCAGTAGACAAGGGAAACATACTGAATTAGGAAATGAGAGATTGTGTATAAGGTCAAGTCTTTGATACGTGACCTCACTGGATGTTGTAGTTGACTAGTAGAACTCCTCCATTATTTTCAGGAGGTCCTGGGTTGAAATATCTGCCCAGATTTTGACTGTTTTTGGATGGTTTTGTGGTTTTCTTCAGTTTATTGGAGTAGTGCATCATATTAGGCCATGCCCATTTCCTTCCTCAACCTTTCCAGTTCCTGCTCACTAACTCTCCATCATTTGATGGAATTTTGTTAGTAGATACATTTTAAAAATTTTGAAGAGTCATGTAAGAATTTTTCCAGGTATGCTATCATGTAGAGGTGAATGAAATGACGGAAGTTTTGTAGGATCCATGTTAATTTACAGAGATGTCAACAAGTCCATAATTTTTTAGAGCCCCTGCTTTCACAGGTTAGGCTTTATTGTCTGTTCCACTTAAGAATTAATTATGAGACTGTGACTTAGATATCTTGTAAGACACCTTGGATGAGGGATCAGCCCATTGCAAGCCCTGTGCCTGCACAGGATAACACATCACACGTAAATGCAGACCTTTCCTTGAACATGATTTGAATCGCGGTATTCCCTTACTATATTTGTCATTAACTGTACAGTCACTGTAATCAGCAGTTTTATTGTAGGGGCATGCTCTTTATGTTTTCTTTATTAGAAGGTTTAAAAAATGAAAGAAAGAAAAAAGAAGGAACCTCTTGTGTAGATGTCATGTGTATCCATTTGTCTATGACCTAATATCAGTATCTGAATCATTACACAACTTAACAGTTGTCAGGCAGTTCTGATTTTAAATCATGCTAATCCACAGCAAAGCCTACTTCGTGTAAGGTTGTGACTAATCTTTTACATAAATCATTAATAAAACTTCATCGAAATTCATAACAGTACATAAATTCATAAATGCATAACAGTACATGGATATTTTGATTTGTAAATGTATTAACCAATTACAAAATCTGCTTAATGTAAGGTCTTAAATTCACTTTTTCATGTTATTGAAATTTTAGTTAAATTCAGTTTGAGAGGTCCTTGTGTAAGTTGGACATTTTTTACTTTTAGTCATATTGATTAATTAAAAAGTTTAATTTGCATAATGTCATAAATAGACTTTTCCAAATATGACATCAGCCATTTTGTAAATTTTAGTGTAATTTGATATTTTGCGTTATTAGGCTGTTGAAATATGTAGTTTGTTCATTTTGTCTAAAACAGTTTGTGTGTTGCTGAAATGCCAATATGGACCAGCCACAAGTGTGGAGAATAAAAGCCAAGATTTGTGTTCAGAATTTTGTGTAGTACATTAGAGACTGAAACTGTTTCAAATATTGCTTAAATATACATAATTTTTACTATTTCTCACTTTTTTGTTTGCATTTGGATGTGCAGAATATGATATTAGTGTTCATGTAGATCCGGAACTCATTCAGGTTCAGCCTCAGACATGCCTTCTGTAAAAATATATTTTTATTTTTAATATATCTGTTAATGTTTGAACTGAAAATATTTCAGGACAGATGACAGGGTGAAGCATATGAAGGTATATGAGAAACATATGGGAGGAGTTCCCCAGTATTACCTGTCAGAGTCACGCTTCTTCAAGAGTATAATGGAACTCATCGCCTATTATGAACAGGCCAGTTTAAGTGAAAATTTTGTTGGGTATGTAGCAGTCCACAGTACTTACTTACTTACTTACTTACTTACTTACTTACTCATGGAGCTGAGCCCTTCTGGAGGAGCTGCCAATTCTGCAGCTACTCAAGAATTTCCCAGCATTTTATGGAACCCGAAGGTTCATTACCGTGTTCACAGGAGCCCTTCACTGGTCCCTATCCTGAGCCAGATCAATGTAATCCATACCATCCCATCCTGTCTCTCTAAGATCCATTTTAATATTGTCCACCCACCTACGCCTTGATCTTCCCAGTGGTCTGTTTCCTTCTGGCTTTCCCACCAACATCCTATATGCATCCGTCGTCCCCCATTCATGCTACATGCCCTGCCCACCTCATCCTCCTTGACTTGATCATTCTAATTATACTTGGTAGCAGTGCACAGTATGGTCTCATTAATTACCATGTCATTACCATAACACCTCTGATATTTCAAGCCCTAGACATTATTGGATATTTTCGGGGAACCTTGAGAAAGAAATGATGACTGAATGGAGAGCAAGATCAGTTCTTTATGGATGAAGTATGTGGTCTTATTGTCTGTGTGTTTATTTATTTTGTTAAGTCTTGCTCAGTTTCTCCTCTTCCCAGGTTTCATATTGTTACCTCAGTAGGCTACCAACAGATAAAATTAATGTTAGACGAACAAAATTTGCATTAATTTTTACCCCACCAAATATTGTACAATGAAATGTTAAAATTAACATAAAATTAATAAAATCTTCAAGACATCTTCAGTCCCATGCTTAAACACACAGTTAATTTTATTTTAAAATACTGTAGTTCTACAAGCCACAAGAAGGAGAAGTTTAAATCTTTAAAGTGGCAGGCAGATAAGGGAAACTTCATTTTCAGAACATACAACTTAAAATGCTCAGTTCATGAGTAATGAACAGTTGCACAACTAGAAAAACCTTTAGATGTAAGAGAATAGTTAACTGTCACTTTCATGGTTAAAGTGAATATAGTTTGTTTTGAAACATAATATTGTTACCGTGATTAAGTAAAGGAAGGTGAAATGGGTGGGATATGTTATATGCATGGGGGGAGATGAGAAATTCATATACAATTTTAGTCGAAACAAAATCTGAAGGAAGAGACCGTTTGGGATAAGCATGAACGGTAGGTTAGCATTAAAATAGACAATAGAGGAAAAGGGTACTTGGGTGTAAACTGGATGGCTCTGGATAAGGTCCAGTAATGGGTTACTGCGAACACAGTAATAAATCGTTACATCCTGTAAAAGAAAATTTCTGGGCCAGTTGACGAACTCTCAGCTTTTCAGAAATCACCCTGCATAGTGTAGTTAGATTGTTACGAAACTACAAACCAAGCTTGGCATAAAGAATCCAAAGAAAATCAAATTTCTTCCAGAATGTAATGTGTTTCTCTGATTTTTGAAGGTATCTTCAAGTCATAATGCAGTATGTGGAACAGGATATACACTTTAGGATTCCTGAAATACCTCATACACTCATCATCTTGTTGATGAGTGAGAAGTAATTGGTGAAGAGATAAAAGAGTGGTCTATGGGTTTCCCCCCCCTCCCCCCATGGTGTAGCATATATGCATGCTATCAATGGATCAGACTTGTGTATATGTAATTAATAAAAACATGAGAAACATTTACATACAACAGAGAACAAACGTAAATTATTGTTATAGTATAACATAAGATTTGAGTGTATGGATCATATCAGAGTTAGTATATACGAGGGCTATTTGGAAAGTAACCTACATTTAGGAGGAGTGGAGGTAGCATCACGTGACTCATTGCCTTGTAAACCATGCCATAACTGGTCACCCAGTGTTTGTTCTTTACAGAGTAAGTTATGATGTGTCCTGCAATTGATGATCCCACCAGGTGTGAAATTTGCCCAGTTACTTGCTTACTTCACGCTAAAAACATCAGTGCTGTGGAAATCAATCATGAATTACATGTGGTTTACTGCCAGAATGTAATGAGTAAAGGAACTGTAAGACAGTGATGTAGAATGTTCAAAGATGGGCGAACAAATGCTCACAGTGAAGAGCGATGTGGTCAGCTGGCTATTTGTAGAGAGTGATCATCTTGTTCAAAGTGATGACCAAAAATTTAGTGAAAGACAGTACTTCACAATTGCAGAAATTTCATGTGAATTTCTACAAATTTCACACACTGTTCGTTACCAGATTATCACAGTTATGCTAGGTTATCACAAGTTTTGCACAAGATGGCTTCTGAAAATGCTCACAGATGTGTACAAATTGCAGAAAATGGCTTTGATTTTTTTAGAGCGATACCATAAAGATGGTGATGAATTTCTCAGTCACATTGTATGAGTAACAGGTGATGAAACCTGGTTTTCATGTGTGAATGTTGAAACCAAAGAGCAGTAAAAGCAGTGGATGCAAACACATTCACCAAACAAGCTGAAAAAATTTAATCAAACATTGTCTGCCTGCTAGAGAGCTCTGGGAACTGTTTTTTGAGGCAGGAACAGAGTGCTGATGGTGGAATTCATGCAACAGGGGACCACGGTAATGTCAGAAGTGTATTGTGAAACACTAATAAAACTGCGTAGTACCATTCAGGACAAAAGGCATGTATTGCTGACATCCATTGCAGTGCTTCTCCATGACAGTGTGCATGCACATACCTGTGCTTGCATACGAGCACTGCTGGAGTGTTTCAACTGGAAGATGTTTGGCCACCGTTCTTACAGCCGTGATCTTGCTCCAAGTGACTACTACCTGTTTACCTGCCTGAAGAACTGGTTTGGTTCACAGCGCTACAGCAATAATGAGGAGTTAGATGGAAGGTGTCAAAATGTGGCTGTGCTTGCAGGTGGTAGACTTACAGGCATACAAAAACTTTGTCCGCGATACAACAGGTGTCTCAGTTTCATCAGTGACTACTTTGAGAAGTACCTTAAGTATGACATATTTTTTTCTCATTGATTGTTTTGTTAACAGTTCACTGGAGGTTACTTTCTAAGCAGCCCTCATATTTTTTTTTCTTTTCATATTTGTTAGGATATGTAGAATTTAATTTTTTTGCACAGGTTGGATGTTAAGCTGAAATGGCCTTTTAGCCAAATAATTGCTGTTGCTGAGTTTGACTTTAACCCAGCTGAAAACAATCAGTTGCCACTCCGGAAAGGTTGCCAGGTGACTGTTCTGAGCAAAGACGGTGTCTACAACGGCTGGTGGAAAGGCAAGATACAGGACAGAGTAAGTAAACACAATGAATTTTATTTGTCCTTTGATTTTGACCACAAGGGTGGTGGGTTGGTATTAGTATTGCATCTACCATGTGTATGTTGGGATAGCTCAGTCAGTATAGCGACAGGCTACAGGCTGGACAGCTCGGGTTCTATTCCCAGCAGTGCAAGTTTTTTCTCTTTTTCACAGTATCCAGACTGCCTCTAGGGCCCACCGAGCCATGTATCCAGTGGGTACTGAGGGCTCCTTCCATGGGGGTAAAGCAGAAGGGGCATGAAGCTAACCGCCCACCTCCTAGAACGAAGGTCAAGAAAAGTGGAGCATATCTCCATTTTCCCATATGTCTTCATGGCATAGTGCTGAACTAATTAAGCATAGGGACAGCTGTACTTTTACCATGTATATGGGAGATATCTGAATTTTGGCTGAGACCAGCCATTCTGAAGCCAAGGTAATACCTTGACATCTCAGTTGACTTTATCTTAAAAAAATTATTGGTCACTCGTATTAGATAAATATTAACAAATAATGCCGTTTGTTTTGTCATGGCACAGTAGGTGTAGGTCCACTACTGCAAGTTGTGACAGTCAGGGGGCTGTGATTTTAACAAATTTCATGTGGGTAAAAGTACAGGTCATAAAACTCCTGAATATAGCATTTTCTCTGTCCTTGTGTTACATCTCTATGTTAGGTCCAAATATTTTGAATGCCATGTTCTCATACACCCTGAATCACTGTTCTTCCCTTTGGGTGAGGGATTGGATTTCACTTTCTCATAAAACAAGTAAAATTATAATTTTCTATATTTTAACCAGTAGGTTTTCAGGTGGGAGATGGAATGATAACGGTTCTGAACCATATGAAAGGAGACAGTTCTTGAATGGATGTAACTCATAATTTTATTACGAATATACTTTTTATTTTTGTAACTGTTGAACGTTAAATTGCTTATTACTTAATTCTGCAGTATTCAGTATTAATATGCTCAGTGCTTTATCTAAAAATAGATGGAATTCCCAAGACTTAGAAACATGGTGTGTTTGCTTGGATTGTTATATTTGAAGTAAATGGAATCTTACCTTCCAGTCATGTTCTCAGATAAATCAGTGCACAGTTTTGAATTTATGTCTGCTAATCTGTAGGAGGGTTACATTTAATGAGTAAACTGGTTGGCTTATGGCAACTAGTGGTTATGATGTAGCAGTAATAAAGAAATGATTAAACAGAATGGAATTAGAATGCAACAGGTCCTGTCACTTGCCTTGCTGATATTCTTCTTTTTTTTGACACATGCTCTTTATTGCAGGTTGGTTTCTTCCCGAAGGAATATGTCCGTGAAATATCCGATTCATATAATTTTCACATGGATTGAAGTGAGCTGATTCTTTTTGTGTCATTGTCATGTCATGTATTGCTTTGTTTGGCCTCCAGTAAAGTGTTATATGCCAAGGGATGGTGAAATGCTGTGTTCATGGACAGTAAAATTTCGGCAGGCCTGCTGAAATGAACAGGGCAAATCTTGGCTCAAATGATTTTATGTTTTATTCTGGGGTTACCTCAAGGACAAGTACGAATTATGTTTAATGTGACTGAGTATGGCATTGTCTTAATTGTGTAGGATGTTGACTCCCTTCTTGAAGTAACCACTTTCTGTGTACACATATACACTAACGGCAGAACAGCTCTGTTTTTTGGTTTGGAATTCATGAGGATTAGTTTTGCATTTCAGTTTGAAGCAGGTGTATGGCTTTCCCACCTGGAGACCTGTAATCATTGTAGTGATGTTGCTTTTGGTTGGGTTTTCCTGATTCTCTTGCCATCAACTCCTGTTTTCCTAGTATGCGGGCAGTGAAATGCTAGAGAAAACCCTTTATCATGCTGTATTGTGTTGATTCCATTACTCTGCATGTTTCTTTCATGTTGTCCAAATTTTATGCCAACAGAGTAGAGGAAAAGAGATTAATAACTAAGTAGGGTGTTAGAAAAAGGTCTTGATGGAATATACAGTGAAACCCCCATTTGAGGTTTCTTTGGAGAACACTGGAGCTGAACACTAAACTGCAGCAAATCTTAATTATAGTTAATTTAATACTGAAATTATTGACTTGGGATAATTAACCTTTAAGAGCCTAGCGACGCCATATGGGGACCTTTAAAGTATAGCCGAGTGGCCGTGCGACACCGTATGGGTACGCGCAGTCCACGTGTGTGCAGAGTGTTTTAAAATCTGATCTGATTCTTGTTCTACTTACATTATTTTTGGGCACCCGCTTTATAAGTAGACAGTCTTCCCTCCTGCATCATCTAACTGAATGCAGAATCCGACGCCGCAATTAATGCACTTTGTCCATATGTAACTCCATTTCCCACGCGAAGAGCACACACGACACCTCACTCTCGTATTACAGGAAGTAGGTCAGTAATGTCCTCTAATCGTAACGCTTATAAAACATCGAAATTTCAACTATGCACTATGGCCCCATTTCGCACGGGAGAAGCCGAAATTGAGAGGCCGCTCATAAATCGCACCATTCGGATTGCGGTACAGACAATTCTGAAGGGTCCAGGAAAGAAGAGGGATTTGTGTGGATATTCCAAGAACAGTACCTCTGTGCGTTTAGTCCGACATATAAACAGGCAGTTTCATAAGGACAAAGTAGGATAAGAACTTGCCCACACTCCTCACACTCGTGTATACAGAAAGGCAACGTGACTGGAGAATGTGCAGTGAAAACATAAACTTCCTCTCCTCTTGCCAAATAAGACATAGTCAGACAGTGTGTCAGCAGCATGCATTTATACTGCAGAAACGTTTTGTGCAGAAGCTTTATGCATTTTTGTGGACAGACGCTCAAAATTGGGGGAAAAATTTTTTTTTGGAATCAGTGTAACAATTTTTACAGATTCTAAAATCTGTAAATTACAATATCTGATTTTATATTCTTTCTAGATAAAAGCAGTGTTTATTTCGTTGGTTTATCACAAAAATTGTAGAAATCAAAGCGTTTTCAGTAACATGCTTACAATTTTTAATACTCTATAATGGCGGACATTTAAATTAACTCCGGCCTGCTGCGATTACGGGAATTTAAATATCCCGTCTCTTAAAGGTTAAAATTGAACATTTTATGAGGGAAAACCTACTTCCAGTGTATTGTTTTTCATAATTCTGACAGATTCTTCTTGGGAAGTCTGGACAGCTGTGTCTTCTTGCTAATCAGCATTTTGACATGCAAGCTTTAAAATGGACCTTTGAAAATGAATCAGATTTAGGTTCACAATTTTCTTTTCATCGTGGACCATGATTTTACAAGTAGAGTGGAATTAGCATTATTGGAATGTCGTCTAATTACGATATATTAGTGGCTTGTGTCCAACTCAAAATTGAGATTGATTTTTATTAACTGGTATTGTGATGGCATTTGAATTGCTCTAATTGGGATAGTTCCAGAGTGCAATAGATTCTTTTCAAAAATAGACTTTATCTTAAGTGTAGTGAAGTTCTAGTACTTGGACATTAATCAGTACTGTAGCAATGATGTTCTTTGCTTGTTTTAAAATATTTTCATTGTTGAAATTGTTACGATTTCTTTTAAATTTTTTTTTGTATACAGGAGAATAATGTTGAAGTATTTTTGTTCCATTTTTTATATGATATATGGATACAATTTAAATTGCTATTTTAGCAGTGAAGACCCATTTGTTAATTCAATTTTAATGGCATTTTCATTAAAAGAGTGGATTCCCATTCAGGAGAGTTAACTCAAGTTTTGGGGTCACCTAAATTCAGTGGAGAAAAATGTAAAAGTTGCTATGAGGTAGATTAGATCATTGCAGTACTTAACTGATATTCACACTTTTGAGGGTGACATCATGTAGAGGCTCTAGGTAATGACAAACGAGGAAAGAGGAGAACATTGCGGATTAATTATTTAGATTTTCAGAAAATAATTTGTTCATCTGTATTCAATGGATATTTTATAAAAATAACAGATTGATCACTGTAAATGTTTGTTGCTGTCTTTTTATTGTGTTGCCAGGCCAGTGGATACATCTCTATGCAGAAGCCATCATCAAAAGACTATTTTGCCTTTTAGTATAAAACAGATGTAAATAAATTACAGAGAAAATTTGCTTAGCATCCAGGGTAAGATCTGTTTGTGTTGTGTCTTATTGCTACAGCAATTTAAGTGAAATATCTTCCTAGGTTTGTGATGCATTATGAGTAGTTTTATTCACAGTGTAGTTTTGAAACGTTAGATTGATACAAAAAAATATATACTTCTCTTGATAACTGACCTTGGGATAAATTCCAGAGGCACCCAGAAAAATGTATAAACATTTCAACATACGAAATATTGTGCTTAAATAATTTATTCATAATCCAAATTTGATGTAGAAAGGGATGGCTGTGACACACATTGAAGTAGAACAAGTGTTCAAAATTGCGCACCATCATTAGCTTGTAGACACTTGTGAGTTTGGTGGACTAGTGCAGCCAGGGCCAAGGTGTCCACTGGGTTAGTGGCACATGAAATTTAAATTTCTTTCCGTAATGTCTCCAGTGTTGGTGGTCTTCTGTGATATACCACATCTTTCAGGACCCACACAAGTAAGAGTTGAGGGGAGGTAAATTAGGCAAGTGTGCGGGATAGTCGACACTACCCCGTTGTCCTATCCGTTGACCTGTTAGGTTTTCACTGAGGTAGCTTCTGACATCTCAGTGGTAGTGTGGCGGTGCATCATCCTGTTGAAAGTAAAATGGATGATTCCCATAGAGATGATGAATGGCAGATAAAAAGGATGTCCAAAGCATGTTGAGGCGGAAGAGGTGGAACTCATTGGCATGCAGAGCATCCCAGATCTTTGCTTGTGCACATCATTCACTGTACCATTGGCCTCAAATTTGTCACATGCATGCAGTTGTTAATCGTGTTGTAGGTTCTGTTGCAAATTCATGCCACCACTGTCTTTGTACTTCACACACATTTTCAAATTTCCAGTACCACTTCAGAATTATCTTGCACTGCTTGTATGACAATCATTTTGCCTCCACTTTCTTTGACTGTCCTGCCTTTCGGTAAGGTGGTTCTGGCAGACACCTGACTGGCACCATCTTTTGAGAGAATATCACACTACACTGTACACACTTTACTTTACATTTTGGTTTGTCTTTGAAAATGTCTGTAGATAACCTGTATTAAATTATGTGTACATTTTTGGGGCCCCTCTGTGGACCTATAAATACACTCCTCCATACGCCTTAATGGCGTCATGCTTAATTAATTAAGCACAGGGACAAATTTACCTTTACTTGTATAGTCAGTTTTAAATTCTTAGCATATTGGAAGGAAGGAATAAGAAAGTATTTGTTCTCAGGATAGTTTGTTGTGCAGTACTGGTGTAATTCTTCCAAACTTATTGTTTGAGAACCTGTGATTGGGTCAGATAGTTACAGTGTGGGACTGTAAGCAGTTCTTTATTATTCTGAGTATTTGGCTTTGTATTCGGAGTAGAGTCGCTGATGAATACAAATTGTGGAAAATTAGAGGACTGGCTGATAAAGAATATGGCAAAAATGACTTTCTCTGGAAGACTGATCATAATACGTATGTATCATTATTTGCCCATAACAGAATTCTGCTCAAATTCCAGTAACTTCACAGTGACATTAAAAGTAAAAATATAAGGCTTGTAACATAAATATGTAGGAGGAATAAAACTATAGGATACTTCTCAGGTTATTTAGTGTGTAGGTGAAATTTCCTATTTTGTGTATGTTCCAGTGTAATTTCAGAACATTGTTAGCCTTCTTACTCATATGTTTCTCGCGTGCTAGGCCAGCCTCCTCTGCTTGTTTACGTATACTTTTCGTGTAGTTTGTGTTATAGCTAGCTAGTGCACTTTTGATTATGGAAGTTTGTGAGTTCTTCCATATATGGCACTATATCGTATTTTATTTCCCAACATCCACTCAACTCTGAAATCAGCTGATATGGAAGCCTACGCATCAGTGATATTGCAGTGACACGTAGCAGTACAGGTGTTCTTGATGCAGTGTTACTGTAATAGCATGTACTTGTAGCAGTGAAAGGTTAAATTGTGTTTGTTGCTAGGTTACAAATTTCCTTCTTTTTCATTTAATTTTTCATGTCATTACAATTCCTGTCTTATACCAGACCCAAGCAACATTGTGCCAATGTACATATTTGTCATTATGGTCAATAAATTATGCAGTAATGTCCCCTGTTTTTGATATACTGTGGCTTAGTTTCTTATTATGTATTTGTATTTGTGTACACTTTTAATTCTATAAAGGAATCCATTTTAATATATAAGAGAACAATGTATCTTTATTGTAAAATGTGTAAATAAGTTATACATGAATGCACTATTAATTATTAAGTTCAGGGAGCAAAATCCTTTTAGAGAAACTAATAGTTGTTCACCTAGTCAGTATATTCCCTGCCTTTTATGGAACTCGAAGGTCCATTACTATGTAAGACCCCACCATTGGTCCCAGTCCAGAGATGCACAAGTCCAGTCTACACTTTCCCAAACTATTTCTTTAAGAACCATTCTGACATATCTTCCAATCTATGTGTAGGTCTTCCAAGTGGTCTGTTCCCATCAGGTTTTCAATATTACAGAAGTTAAAGCAGTTGATGCCTTTGGTAAGGGCAATAGATAGAAATCTAAAAATCTGTTGTTTGTCTAGCAGTGTTTAGTTGCATCATTTGGGTATTTTATAAATTATGTATGGCTTAAATTAAAATGAAATAGAAGCTTTGACTAAAAAAAAATGCTATGGAAAATATCAAATACAGACATTCCAGTTCTGGATTTTTTCAGTATTCTTGAATTTATGAAGACATTATACATACAGTAAGGTTAAATACTTTTGATGACCTAGTAACATGTAAATTCCTGTCACACTTAATATTACACTGGGTGGTACTCAGATTATAATTATGTTTGCAAATATCTGTTACTGGGCTTGAAACCTAAACCAGATAAATCCAGTTCATATGCTCACATTCTGTTTCACTGAGATCTGTCTTAATGTAATCTTCCTATTTGTGTTTTATTGTATTACATGTATCTTACAAATTTAATTTTATGTGATTAGTGAGATTTCTGTGCTCAGATACTTTTTGTTTTTGTGTTCTGATATGTGTTAAAATGGAAAACAAAGGTACAGATATCTGCATTCTTTAACTTGTTTGCTACATAAGGAAGAATTTTCTTAAATTGATGAGAGCTGTATGCTTTGCTGGCCAGTCTTCCTTACACAGACACCTTCCTTAAAATGTTGAAAGAATATTTATGTGTAATTGGGTTTGTAGTGCTACTTTTGTTTAGGTGCAGACGTGTTATAAGGAAGCGGGAAATGTCCATGAAATCATGTGCATTTATTTATGTTATATTTTAGCGTCCTGTTGCACTGATTTAAGTCCATGATTTATTTAATCCGTCTTGCAGTGCATACACTCATTTATCTCCTTCTCTCCCTCGCACTACATGTTTCGGCATAATAATGCCATCTTCAGGTGCTTACTTATCCACGTCAAACCAGTTCATTGCATGCCATGTTCACACATTAAAATAACTAAAATATGTATCATATACATTGTCAAACGTTAAAAATATTAAAATTGTTCAGGATACCACANCGTGACTGATGTAGTGAGGGGCGACGTAGCGATGTGGTATCCTGAACAATTGTAATATTTTTAACGTTTGACAATGTATATGATAGATACATATTTTAGTTATTTTAATGTGTGAACATGGCATGCAATGAACTGGTTTGACGTGGATAAGTAAGCACCTGAAGATGGCATTATTATGCCGAA